CGACGTTCTTCTCAGCTACCCTAGCGCCAGACTGGTCGTCTCGAGTACTCCGTTTTAGAGTGCCTCAATTTCGCAACATCCTTTCAGTCCAAACCCCGCCGCCCAGCGCCTGCTCAAGCCACGATGCGCCTTCTTCAAGCCGCCACTCCACCCCGACTTCGAGCAGGACCCTGTGACGGTTGACCAAAGCGCTGTCCGTCCAATGACAGTCGTAAAGGACAGCCATCATGCCTCTTCACCACGACGGACGACCCTTGGGAAGCCTCGGTTTCCTTTCCTGCCGCTCCGCCCCCATCAATTCATCTACTCCCCCCAGCCACAGGGCAAATCTCAAATTACGAGCGTCTATGAAGGAGAATCGCAGATGTCGATCACCGGAGAACATGATTGAGACTGTCTACTGCATGACAGCTTTGCGCGTGCATCCTCGAGTCCACGTGCTGACTATTGTAGTGTGCAGTAGGGGTGTTGCAACACTACTTGCTTGCTTGATGCCTGCTTCGACCAACACCAGAACTATGAACAACCAAGGTATGGATAGTGTGAAGCATGGTTGCATGAGCACAATTTCCCACCGCCAATCTGCCTGCCACTGCTCTTCCTTGATCAAGATAGTCTAGATATCGGGGTTTGCGGGATATGCGCCCGCCTAGCTGTCGGCTGGTTCATGCTGCAAGTGTGTGTAGTACATGAAATTTTAAGACGCAGAAGGGGCCCATCGGATGTGTGGCATGCAAAGACGGTTGCACCCTTCCCTGCGAGTCAGCCTCCCGCAGAATCTGACGCATGGAAACTTCTGAGACAGGCGGCTCGGGTTCGTGTGATGGCCTCAATAGAGTTTTGACAGTTATCGCTGCCCGCAACACGTGGCTATGATGCACGTCTCATGTCATGGCGAAAGCGTATCTGAAGCCCTACAACGCTGCCACGCGCTGGGCCGCCTCTTTGTACGCCTCGCCGGCTTCGTTTGGGGAACTAGAGAGGCAGGAAGTAGGGTATCTTTGGGGGCGTTATAGTCTTTGCAAACAGCCCCTGTGTCTCTTGTTTGGCTAAAGCTGGTACTTGTTGTTTCTGCGAACGCCGTTTGACGCCACGGACTCGCCATGTTAGCCATGCAACATTGTGCACATGGCACACAAGTACACCACACACACACCGAAGCCAACCCGATTCATGACCGGACGTGCTCGCCTCCATCATGTCGAGGTTTGGCTAGGCGTTGATTCTTCTGCAGCTACACCACGTACGCACATCATGCTCTACACACCGTCCACGTCTAGCACATACTTCGCCATGGCGTCTTGCTGTGAGATCCGATGCGAGGCGCTTCATCAACACCTGCGCACCCCTCCGACGCTATAAGGTGGTGGGTGTGAAGGCGCAGAGAAACGTGGCAATCCCGGCGCTTCCAACTGCTTTTCGCGGGTTCTGTATGCGACGTGGCGGTGTGTTTCCCTTTCTGTGCATCCGAACTGCGCCATCGAAGCAATGGAAGCTTCATGGAAGGAATTACACTTTGCGCCGCTCGCTGCAAAGTCGGGTCTGTTCTGAGAGGGAAAGCGTCGACGACAAGACCCTTTCCCGTTTGTCAAACAAGTTCAATTGTTGACCGCTCTGTTCCTCTTTCGCCCCTTTCCTTCCTTTACCCCCCGAGCGTCCGTGGCCTTTTCCGTCCCGATCGCGGACGTGCGGAACGTGGTGCAGCCAGATTAGTTCCTGCAAGTGCACGCTCGACCGCCAGCGTCCCTGATGGGAAAACGCCCAATTCCCTAACCTGCGAAAGCTTTAGCATCGTTTCTAGTGCCCATTGGTTTCTGGCGGAAATCGCGATCGAAAGGAGGCACGAGTCCAATCGGGACTTTGGCGGTCGAGTCCGGGCCTAGTCGCATGTAGCTGGACTAACCCGTCCCTTCTAGAAGAACGAGGAACAAAGAATGGCAGCATCGGTGTGTATATGTACTTTGTATACGCGGTACATTCGACCTGCAATGCATCCTTCCATCGCTTTGGCTAATTAGCCCAACCAGTGTCGTTTGTGTTTTCATGTACTCCTGCGTAGCACTCGCCGGACTGATACCGCCGCTTCTGCCGCGCTCCATCGGGATGCCGTGTATCCCACACCGCGTTCGGCATTCTCCCCTTCCGTCCATCTCCTCTCGCTCGGTCATCTCCCCGGCCGAAATCTGCAACCCCAGCCCCTCCTTCCGGAACCCCCTGGCACTGGCCTTCAGCCCTCAGGCCTTGGCTAAGCACTTCCATGGCAGAGAATGGTGCTTGTAACGGTCCTAGACCTGATTTGTCTGTTCGTCTTGGGGTCGGGGGATCAGATTTTCCCGCCTGGCGGGATTTGGGCGAAGAACGTCGTCGGCCGGTTTTCCTCGTTCGGATAGCCCGACGTTATACCCAAATAGAGGTCCCCGCGTTTTCACCTGCTGTAGGGAGATAACATGGCGGAGAGCATGGTCAACGATTGAGCGATGCCAAACTTGTTTGGTATCCTAGCCACCGAGGAATGATGTAACGCCCAATTACATAATGCTTCGGACGCCTGGCTTGCGCTCACCTGCGCTGGCCCTGATGACTTCAACGACGGTGTTGTTGGCGCTTCCGCCGCAGCATGGCTTGATTTTAACGTAAGGAATATTCAGGGGCGGAGCGGAACGGCGGTGTGGAAGTGAGACGTCGCGCAACTCCTCCTCCATGAGCGCCATTGTGTGTTGTACATTGCATACGCCCCCCAAGCGGGCGATATCTACGTCTCCGTGAAGCCCTCAGGAGCTCTAAGAGCTTCAACGATGGCGCGCGAAAGCCCCTAGAGCCCCTGTAATGCTATCTAAGACTGGGAGTGAAGTTGTAAGCTGTGCATCCCTAGAAAGCCACCCCTGGTTCAGCATCATGAAGGCGCCCAAACCTGAGTCCGAGCAGGTGGCCCGTGAAATCCGGCATCCCAAATGCCTCAGAGGTTGCTCTGTTGCTCACGGATCAGCGTGGCACCGGCTGAAAAATGAGCCGTCTGTACGTGGGTGGCACAGGCTTGTTAGAGAGACTGAATCCCGCTTCCCTCTGTGCTTCATCACGCGAGAGACATCATCTACGCACTCTGAGGCAGCGAAGGAAATTGAGGGCATTTATGTGGCCGCCACCAGGACCGAGTGCGGTCTGATGAAGCTCGAGGTCGGTGATTTGCTTCGTCGATCCACCGCTTTTGTATAATAGCCCGATGCGAGCAGCAGAACCCTGTTGAGGATCAGTGCTGATCACCAGACGGTCGGTACTGCAGCACTCGCCCGAGCCGCAGCCACGGTGTTCTTCAGCAGTAAGCTTGTATGACCTCTCAACCGGTCGTCTCAATCACCTAAAGTCACCATAGAAGTGGGTGGTGATGGTCAGCAAATGGGCATTTTGCCGAACACCATAAGCAGCCACACGCATGAGGCCGTCCAGAAACCTGTTACAATGCATGTGGTGAAATGGGCTCCCCGCCATTGTAGCCAAGGAATGCGGCTTGCTGCTAATTGTTCATCGTCCCATGTTGGCTATGTTCTCCCGGTCGAGATGCCCCTGAAGGGAGGTCATGCCCGGTAAGACAACGGCAACGTCACAGCTGTGGAAGGGGCCTCGGCTTGTTGGGTCAGCACGTCGCCACTGCTGACCAAGATGGCTTCTATGGGTCCCGCGGGGTCTGGGGATTCTGGGGATGGCGGAGACTTCCGGCGAAATGTTGAAGGGATCGTCCGTGAATGGTCAGCGGTAGGGTCATGACAGCGCTGCCGTGTAGACAATCCGGGCCGCTCTCACGCCGCCCCGTGTCGGCATCCCATGTGGGTCAGTCGCAGTGTGGGACAGCCGTTGAGAGATTCTCCGTCTCATGGCGATGCCGTGGTCGACATGCTCTTCCGACGGTCATGATCCGCTACTCCCCGCGGTGCCTACTTGCTGCCGGGAAGTGGATGACGGGTATCGGACCGGATGCCGAAGATGGTACGGCGCTCAACACAACACACCTGTCAGCCATGTCTGTCACTGGAGGATGTCTTTATTTGATGACCCAGAAAGACTCACTTCAATGCAATGGCTCACATTGGCATCAGCGATAGTATCGTCGGTACCCAGATAGCCCTGGGGTGAGAAGCCTCATCCATAAGGTATGGATGTGAATGCTTCTCACCGAGGGAGGCAAGTGGGGCTTCCCGGGTGAACCTCGCGTCAATATCGCACAAACTGCGGGCTGCGGAGGCAGGTGAGACGCGATCGGAGACGCTAGTGAGGAGTTATCCGAACTTCAGCCGGCCCAAACCCTGTCTGCGGAATCTCGGGACGGCGTCCAGCTCCATGATCCAGTTGAATTGGCCAATGCGGAGCCGACAGATGGGTCCCAAGACCGGAGTCTGACGCCAGAGGAGGCACAAAGCTCCAGCCGGGGTGAGGGGCAGCACCTCACTCAACGTGGGGTAGCTGGGAGATGCGCTGGACTGATGGACCGCCTGACCGCGTCTTGGAAACCGTAGTTATCCCGTCTGTCTATCTGTCTTCCCCTCGAGGCCTTTCTCGACGCCTCGGCTGTGTGGTGGGAGAGAGGGGGGTCGGCGACAGGAATCACCTTACGCTCGCTCCTCTCTGCGCCTCGACATACCTTGTCTGCCAGTCTTTCCCCGGGAACGAACAGTACGTGGTCCTGTTTGCCCAACACAGATATTGGAAAACCACCTCCCACACCATGAGACTAGAGACTGGGGCTGCTGGCTGCTTGAACCGATACTCCGCCGCGGCGTCCGGAGATGGCCCGCTTTCGAGCTCGTAATAAATCTATTTAACACCTCTCAGCCTTCGAGAAACCGACTGGTTCTGCCATTTCCAAATCATCCATCCAGCTTCTCCTAGCCACCGCCTATTGTTACGTCGCCTGCTTCCAATTTCAAGCGGCATCTTTTCTGTTCCAACGTAGAGATACCCAGCCAACTAAGGGTTTTATTTTCCGATTTGCCGGTTCAAAGCCCACGATGGCCGATTTCGATGTGGAGGACCTGCTGAAGAAGCTCACCGTCTCCGAGAAGGTCGACCTTCTTGCGGGTAAGCCACCTCGTCCCAACTGGCGCTCTTTCCCCGCGATCGACGTCATCGACAGATGGGATCTTTGTGGGCTAACGCAATTGCTTCAGGTATCGACTTCTGGCACACCAAGGCTCTTCCCAAGCACAACGTCCCTTCCGTGCGACTATCTGATGGTCCCAATGGCGTTCGCGGCACCAAGTTCTTCAATGGCGTTAAGGCCGCCTGCTTCCCCTGCGGAACGGCCCTTGGCGCCACTTTCAACACCACCCTCCTAGAGGAGGCTGGAAAGAAGATGGGTGAAGAAGCCAAGCTCAAGGGAGCTCACTGCATTCTCGGCCCGACCATCAATATGCAAAGATCCCCTCTCGGTGGCAGAGGCTTCGAGTCTCTGGGTGAAGACCCTGTCTTGGCCGGCCTGGGCTCTGCCGCCATCGTGAACGGCATTCAGAGCACCGGCATCCAGGCGACGCCGAAGCACTTTGTTTGCAACGACCAGGAGCACAGGCGCAACGCTGTTCACAGCATCGTAACTGAGCGAGCCCTGCGCGAGATCTACGCCCTCCCTTTCCAGCTGACTTTTCGCGACTCGCAGCCCGGCGCTCTGATGACGGCCTACAACGGTGTCAACGGCAAGTTCTGCAGTGAGAACCAAGAGCTGCTTGAGGGACTTGTTCGCAAAGAGTGGGGTTGGGACGGCATGATCATGAGCGATTGGTACGGCACTTACAGCACAACGGAGGCGGCCAACGCTGGTCTCGATCTTGAGATGCCCGGTCCTCCGCGCTTCCGTGGAGAGCCCCTGAAGTTCAACGTTTCAACCGACAAGGTCCGCCAACACATTCTAGATGAGAGAGCTCGTGCTATGCTCAAGTTCATCAAGAAGTGTGTGGCAACTGGCATCCCTGAAGGCGCCCCGGAGAAGACTGGCGACACTCCTGAGACCGCTGAGCTGCTGAGACGCATTGGCGGCGAGAGTCTCGTTCTTCTCAAGAATGAGAACAGCGTTCTTCCCCTCAAGAAGGACAAGAAGGTATGACCAAGAGCTTTCTCTCCTATACGACAACAGCAGCTGACTGAAACTGCAGACCGTCGTCATCGGCCCCAATGCCAAAATTTGCACCTACCACGGCGGCGGCTCCGCTTCTCTGGCTGCTTACTACTCCGTCACCCCCTTTGACGGAATCAGCAAGAAGCTGAGCTCTCCACCCGAGTACACCGAGGGTGCCTACTCCCACAAGCTTCTGCCTCTCCTTGGCAACGTTGTCAAGTCCAATGGCCAACCCGGCATGACCATGAAGGCTTACAACGAGCCGCCCACCGACCACAGCCGCGAGTGCCTCGACGAGCTTATCCTGACCAAGACCGAGCTCCTGCTTGTTGACTACTACAACCCCAAGTTCAAGTCCAACCTCTGGTACGCCGACTTTGAGGGCAGCTTTGTCGCCGAGGAGGATTGCACCTACGAGCTCGGCCTCATCGTCTGCGGCACCGCCAACCTGTTTGTCAACGACAAGCTTGTCATCGACAACACCACCAAGCAGCGCCAGGGAGACGCTTTCTTCGGCGCCGCAACCGTCGAGGAGAAGGGCCGTGTCGAGCTCAAGAAGGGCGAGACTTATACCTTTAAGGTCGAGTTCGCCTCGGCCCCTTCATCCAAGCTCCAGGGTGACAATGTCGTCTTCGGTGGTGGTGCCCTCCGCATCGGTGGTTGCAAGGTTATTGATGACAAGGCCGAGATCGCAAAGGCTGCTGCCCTCGCGAAGGACGCCGACCAGGTCATCATCTGCTCTGGCCTTAACGCTGACTGGGAGACTGAGGGCAATGACCGCGCCGACATGGAGCTTCCTGGCTACCTCAACGACCTCATCTCTGCCGTCGGCAAGGCCAACCCCAACACCGTCGTCGTTAACCAGTCAGGAACGCCTGTGCGCATGCCGTGGATCAATGACGTTGCCGCCCTTGTGCAGGCCTGGTATGGAGGCAACGAGACGGGTAACGCCATCGCCGACGTCCTGTTCGGCGATGTCAACCCGTCAGGAAAGCTGTCTCTCAGCTTCCCCGAACGCGTCCAAGACAACCCGGCTTACCTCAACTACCGCGCTGAAGCCAGCCGCACTCTGTACGGCGAAGATATCTACATTGGCTACCGCTACTACGAATACATCGACCGCCCCGTCCTCTTCCCCTTTGGTCACGGTCTGTCTTACACGAGCTTCGCCTTTAGCGATCTCGTCGTCAACGACAAGGACGGCAAGCTTACCGTCGACGTCACAGTCAAGAACACAGGCTCTCTACAAGGTGCCGAGGTCGTCCAAGTTTACGTGGCGCCTAAGCAGAAGGCCAAGATCAACCGCCCACTCAAGGAACTCAAGGGCTTCGCCAAGGTGGCGCTGAAAGCGGGCGAGAGCAAGAAGGTGACGGTCAGCATCGAGACCAAGTACGCTGCCAGCTACTTCGACGAGGAACGCCATCAGTGGTGCGCAGAGAAGGGCGAATACGATGTTGTCGTCAGCGACAGCAGTGTTGTCGCCGACAAGGCCCTCAAGGGATCCTTCAGCGTCGGTGAGACGTTCTGGTGGTCGGGATTGTAGACTAATGGTTGATGTCCATGTGGATGGCAGGAAAATAGGAGTGAAATATCTTGTCATAGCTGTCTTGGGTATGTAACGAATGAATGATGAATGCGCACATAAAATATACATGTTCTCGTTTGCTTCGTGGGCCACATCAGTAAAATGTTGAATACACGAACTTCCGCCCAAACATCTCAAATAGTCACGTCTATCATATCATGCATTCATAGGTCGTAGGAGTGCAGAAGACAGACTTCCAGAGCCGTACTGCCAAAGGTCCGTTACCCGAACAAAAGCTGCTGTTAAGGCGAGCTCACGCGCTTTTCTCTCATATCGCCATCAGAGCTTGGTGTGCTGTTATCTTCGATCCTTCGAAGTTCGTTCGGCGGTATCCACGGCTCTGCGTCGCCCAGTCGCTGTGCTGTCAAGCCAGCGCTGCCAGCATTCTTCATCCCCGCCTCGAGCTGGCGTTGGTACGATATGCGACGAAGGCGTTCCGCTTCTGCTGGGGTCAAGTGAAGCTTCAAAGTCTCGTCAGCATAGGTCTTGCAAATGCAGCTGCGCACACCTGGGGCGGTACATACGTAGAGTTCAACAAGAATGGCATGGATGGCTAGAGCCAGCCACGAGCCCGCACCGAATACGGCTGCGAATCCCGCCGCAATCTCGGCAGGCTGGTGGGCGTCCACGTTGGCGTGAACAAGAACGTTCAAGCCAGGATACTCGCCAGAGTAAAAGCCTCCACAGTCAGGGTAGAAGCCGAGGACCTTGGTCTGGTTGTGGCGGAAGATGAAGTCCAAGACCGCGCACTGCTTCACCTCGTAGTAGGTTGGGTCGGTATTGGCGACGACTCTAGCAGCCAAGAAACTGATGATGCGCATGGTGATGATGAAACCAGCCTGGGGGCACCATGATTGTTAGTTTTGAGCCTTTGGAGACCTGGGATGTGTCCTTACATATACCCAAGCCCTGAGCATCCAGGCACGATGCTGTTCGATCTGGAGTTTCTTGACGTTGTAAATAGCAAGCCCCAACGCTCCAAGGAACATGACGCTGCCTCCGCCCACGGCCGTCTGCATGCTGACACCGCCCCCAAAGGTACGCCGCGCTATCATGAAGACGCCAATGATGCCGACGATACTGAGGAGAAGGACGAGGTATCCGTTGAGGCGGTGGAACAGGATAGCCTTGTGGCGGATGACGGGAACGAACTGGAGGCAGGCCAAGAAACCACCGGGCAACACACCAGCTAGATGCATGATGATGCCAATCCTCCCCGTGCCGGATTGGTAGTAGTAGCACTCTCCCGGGAGGGCCCCTGATCTGTAATCTGGATTACAGAATATACCTTTGAAGTCGAAAAACATTAGGCGGGCGAGGATGAAGCCCACCATGGCACCGGCCGTGATAAAGAAGAGAGTAAAGTTATAACCCTTTTTGAAGCCGAGTGGGTTAAAGATCTTACGCACAAAGGTAACAAAACCGTTGGCGGGAGGCCTTGGGGCAGGAGACATAGTGGCAGGCGGGCAGACTCAGCTAAACAAAAACCCATCGGCGTGCAACAATGGGCAAGCTGGAGTGAGACAAGCAGCCGCTCCTTGATACGTGCTTCTCGCTGAAGAATGGAGAGGAAGAAGGGTCGTACAATCACGGACAAGATTGCGAGATACGGCCAGTGGAAGAGACGAACGGCCTCTCATATACGTTGACAGAGACATCGTCAGACAATGGAAGCACCCGAGACCTCGGACATCGATCCTAAAGTGGTGTTCAGCCTTGGTAGAGGAGGAGGGGGATGAGCGATGAACACCGCTTGACAGGGTAAGGGCTGGGCTGGGCCAGGCTGGCTCCCATCCGGATCCCCCGCCAAAGATGCGTCGCTGCAGCTGGGCATACAGGATTAGCCGTTTGACAGCGCACCGGAGTCGTGTCTCACCAGATGCATGGCACCATGACATACAAGATAGAGGAGCTTGGCATACTTGCTCCAACGATGCAAGGCCAAGCTCGGCCGAGAGGGTGGGAATGGCACATCTGGACTCGAGCCGGGGGACGGCAGGTGTTTTCCGACCAGGCGGCTACCACGTCGTAGGTTTTCTCTCTCTGCAGTTTTCAAGCAGGTATCCGTCAGGAGAGGACGCTTAGGCAGGAGAAAGAGCAAGTGGTGACACTGGGCGGCGTTACGGGACGGATCATGCATGCTCACCGGTCCTGTCACCGGCCGGCGTGGCGGCAAAGAAAGGGAAGAGGGCATAGCTAGCCAGTAAGAGGGCGAAGAGATGGGTGCCGGCCTCGCGAGGCTTCCTGCAAGTGGTTCACGAGAAAGAGACTTCCCAGGTCGGTCCACTTAAGGCGAGGGAATTACCTGACGTGCAGATGGCGTGGGCGCCGAGGGCCACGAGATGCGGCCGTACGGGAGGGATCGAATACAAGCGGGCTGCATTAGTGTCGATTTGGGAGGCGGGGCGAGCAAGGAAGAGCGAAAGATGAGATGGTTGAGAAAGGCCATGAGGCAGGAGCCAGCCGATGGCGGTGTGCTTGTGTGTTTCTGCAGGTATGTGATGTGCGGTGTGCCTCCACCTTGCTCATGACATTGCACCGGTTATCGTCCAACGTCTGCCTCGAATTTGTCCGCTCCTCTGATGAGGCTCATTCTGATGTACTGCTTCGCCTTTCGCAACCGTCTTATCCCGCCAAGGCACCCACGCTCCGGTAAAGAGGTTGGAATTGTGCGGGGCGGGCGATGAGCCAAGACCGAGGTATTGCAGCACATCTGCCGCATACGTTGATGCCGGGCTAGTACCTTGGGCTAAGCCGCCTACGACGAGTCCGAAGCATAGGATCCTTTTGAGCAGACGGATGGGAAGTAGAGAGCAGGAAAGGAGGAAGAGGAGAAGGAGGCTAGGCGTGAGACACGAGAGCCCTGGTGGCTTCTTTAGCTTGGATTAGCTGTGTTTATCATACACAGCCGCCGGCAACGTTGGAAGCCTGGACAAGTAGGAGGAGTTCTAGACGCTGCCGGTGATCAAGGATTTTTTTTTTTTTTTTTTTTTTTTTGACGTGGTGGTTGGAGGATGCTGACTGCAATGCAAGGGACCCGCGAGCTTCGCCATGGGAGCGAGCACATGGCTCGAGTAACAAATTGGGAAACGCGTGGTATCGATCGTTGGAGCAATCATTGGGTTAAGCTCCTATGTATCCGTATCCGTATGCAGGACACCGTTGATGGAACGTTGGAGGTGAATGTGGTGGACGCGAGCTTTGACCCCCTTTCGTCGTTGGCGTGGGCAGTTGCGAGTCGAAAAATCCCATCAAGACCTAGAAAAAGAAATATCAATATGCCCATGGCCGAGGCTGGCCCCCATCGTCGTCACATGATTCGCCCGGCACGTATCCCGCGTAAAGGGCACCACAACAACACGCTCCACCTTCCCAAACCACCTCCACGTCAGTGCACCTTTACCTCACTACCGTACCTTAGGTGGGTACTGCGCAGTACACTGCACCGTGAACCTGCCGGTCGACACGGACCCCACACCACTACCCTTTCTACGTCTAAGGCAAGGTCCTCCCGTCCCGCTACAATCGCCGTGCCGTGTCCGGCCGCGTTCCCGCCCCCTCCTCACCGCGTTCCTCTACCTACTCGATCACTCTTGCGCCTCGCCATGTCGTCAACCCAAGCAGCTCCGCCAACCGTGATAGCGCAGAAGCAATCCTTCCTCGCTACCCAAACCCGCCTACTTTCGCAGCCTATCCAACCGTCCCGCACATGGCTTGCCGCCAACGACTCCTCCGAATCACCACTAAGTGATGCCTTGATCGAGCACGTGGTTACTCGTCTGAACCACAACATCGCCCAGCACTCTCGGCGCGCCTACCCTCACCAGGCCAGCCGACACGTCGCCGAGCAGATTGACTCTCTTTACTTATCACACCCCACAACTGTACAAGAAGATGAGCCATCTGACGGTCTCTCGCTCTACCTTGACCTGAGTAGGTCCCTTCCCCCCCAATTGTTCATGCACCGCTCCATATACCTGCAGGTACGTAGGCTGACCGAACCGGAACAAAGCCGATGACGCTGCCGTCAAGTCACTGCCCGCAACATGGCCATCTGATGGCGATGTGACTACGTATCCCATGGAAGCCAGGCGCTACCACGACCAGTTTGAACGTCTTAAATCGCTTGCACAGCAGAGGCAGCAAGTGAGAGATCGTGTCGAGCGACTTGAGCGTATGAAAGCTGTATTGATCCCTTTCCACTCGGACGGGTCCGGCGTCGGGGTGCAGGAGAATCTTGTCACACGCGACGGCGAGGTCGAGAAAGAAATGGAACGCATGCGGGTTCTGCTAGCTCGTGTCGGCGGTCGTGTTAGCCTGCTACCCGACTCAACCGAGTCTGGGTCTCTTTTCAGGGAGGACGACTCTCTCGTCGTGGAGCCTGTGGTTACGGGCGAGAAACGGAAGCTTGATGACCTTTTGGGCAGTTTTTGAGAAGACGCTGTCAAGCCAGCCCAATGTACGCACAAAGGTGGAGGACTGTGTAATTCTTTCATGATTCGTGTTTCATTATTGGGCACGAAGAGTGCTACTAGGTTCTAGGTTTCAAAAAGGATACCCCGACGCAGTACAAGATACAAGATGTTACTTCGTTTTCCCACCGCAAGCACACTGCAATGCATGGCTGCGCAAGCCCTCTACTTGGAGTAAGAACACCAGGCCTTCATGTTCTGCTCGGACCGGGCCGAAGTGGCAAGGATGCATCTCAAAGATCATCGCCGCTGGGTGCAATGCTCTTTTTCCTTTGCTGTATTTCACCCTCCAGCGTAGCATCCTTGGCACTGTCGTCAACGTCTAGCCCCTTTGGTTTCTTCTTGCTGGAGTCGGCATCCTTGGCTATCACCTCCTCTTCTGCAAATGGATTAGGTGGCACAACGCGTAACTTGACAATGACCTCGTTTTCATCGACTTCAAGCACCTTGTGATACACTCGGAGTCCTACCACGGCAACGGCGTTCCACGGGTCTCTCTCAAATTCATCCTGGTCATCTAGGAGATTCGAAGGGTTCGATGGCGGCGGCAGGCGTCCAGGGCTGTTTTCCCGCGACTTGAAGTCTTCGATCCTGATATCGAGCTCTCGCTCGGATAAGTCGGAAAGGGAGGAGATGCTCGACAAGTCGTCATCGGATTCACAAAGCATCACACCGAACGCGTCGGAATTTTCCGAAGGAGCTGGTGGATCGCTTTGGGTGTCTTCGCTTCTCTGGGGCGTGGCTTGCCGGCTTTCATTCGTTGTATTGGCGGCTTCTCGGCGGATGTCCACTATTGGAGTTTCCCTAGCTTTCGCGGGCTGCAGCCCAGCCAGACCGCGGTTGTCCGAAGATCCCCCCAAGATCCCACTCGGAGTCTCCTCAAATGGTCGCGTAACATCTCCGACAAGTCCAGAGTCCGACAACGTCTTTGGTGAGGCTGCATGCTTATTGCTAGCACCGCTGCTCGCAGTTTGTTTGTCTCGTTCAGAGATGTTTAAGTCTTTGGTCTGAACTTCCAGTTTTTGAATCTGGACGTGCTTTTCGGGAGAAGATTTGAATCTCTCGGAGGTCTGCGCTGATTTCTCGGGTCCAGGGCGATCGTTCGTGTCGTATCGGGTCTTTGCTTGTGTGGCCTTCCTCTTTTCTGCCCTGGCTTTATGTCTCGCGTGCCGCTTCGCCATCTGTTTCTTGTCCCGCTTTGCGGCCTTGACGCGCAGGTAATGCTCCTGCTCGCGCTCTTCTTGGATTTTGGTCCTGATCTCGGCGCGCTTCTTCTCCCGCTGCTTGTTCTCGTGGGCTTCTCGTGCTACCTTGAGCTCGGCTGACTCGACAACTCTCCCCTTGCTATGGGCAAGGTCGTAAGCCAGCCCAATGCGAGTCAACTTCTCGCGGCGACTTTTGGCATTGTTTCTGATGACCTGCTCAATCGGTAAAATATTGTCATTCCGTACTGCGTCAATTCTGACGTAAACTTCGTAACTACCGGCTTCGAGGTCTAGCTCCACGTTGACGGATCGATTCATGCGGTAAGATGCTGGGCTCCGTACGACATAGTCCTCCTGGCCGGCTATGTGCAGACGAAATTGCAGGTCAAACCTATACTGGCCTTCCAGGCCTTTGAAGTATCGTTCGTCGAGATTTGCCAGAACCAGAACCACAGAAGTAGGCTTGGAAAGCTCAAAGGCGAAATGAGTATCGTGGTAGTCAAGGGTCCACGGTACTGAGAACGTCGTCCAAATGGACGTTACCTTCCACTCGGGTCCAAACAAACGTGTCACGTCGAAAATGTTGTACTTCTTGAGCAGGTCTTGGTACGAAATCCAGAAAGCTCCATCATCCCCAAACTTGTGATTGAGCTTCTGGAGCCACTCAGGCGTCCACTGTGAAGAGCCATCGCCTGATGATGTTAGCACACACATGAGCACATGCTTATGGAAATAGGCCGCACTTACTCCAAGCACCCTTCCATTCCCCCTTTCCCCAAGGGTTCTTGAGAAGAACAAGTCGTTGGTTGTCCATCTCGACAGCTTTCATGACGCTATAAGCATGCATTTCAATGATGCCCTTGCGTTCGCCCCATCCTTTGGAAGCGAATCCAGTGGAGCATCCAAGCAACCAGGATTCATTGACTCTGAGGAGTTTCTCTTTCCAGAAGTACTCCTTGTCTAGGATATCGGTGGTATAGATCTCTGAAGTCACACCGCCAGTAAGGTCCTCAATAGCCTCGCCGGTGAAACCCCCTTCGATGCAGGCATAATCTCCGTGTGCTTTAGCATAGGCTTTCTCGAGAAGTGGCAGCCAAGTTTCGTTTGGATTCTCGCACTGAGCAAAGTAAAGAGCCCCGCTGTTTGACTGGTAGATCCGTCGATAGGCCTCTTCTGAGTTGACACGTTCTCGATCCTCCCAGAGAATACGTTCAAGATAGCCTTCGTCGTAGTCGGGTTTTGTGAGATACAACTAATGCGAGCGGTGTCAGCCAAGGTCGATAACAGCGGGGCAAGGAGTCCCTCGGTAGGCATTGCTCGCTGACACTGGAATCGTTCACACCCTTTCGTCGACTTACGTACCTTATCATCAATGATTTCGCTGAACCACTCACCGTCCCTATGGAACACAAAGCCATAGACGCCGACGTCTTGGTCATGGGCAACACAAACTTTCTCGATCAGGCCAGATTTATTGCTAAGATTGCACAGCGCAGCCATTAGCCAGCAGTCTCCATCTCTACCTTGGCGCACGTCGTTAGCGGTAGGGCCATCGATGTAGAATTGAGGGCTGTCGAAGATGTCAACAACGCGCTTCACAGCCTTCGGTACGAACGATGACGGGGAGGGCTCCTTGTTCTTGGTATTCCAGAGGGACTCCAGGCAATCCCGTCTGCCAAACTTAAGATCGAACTCGAGGTCGAAATGAGGATCCCGGTACTTCTGATTTACTCTCCGACACTCTTGGACGATCTTGTCAACCTTGGTTTTGCAGACTGCCGCAGCCTCGTCATATGATGTCTGGGTGCATACTCCGGTAGCTGCAGCCGATCGTCGGGCGACTTTCTCGGCGTATTCGTTCTGAGGGATGACAGTGGTCGCTTTCAAAAGTTAGAACCAGCAGCAACACACCCTGGGTCATGCAAGGACGAGAGAACATGGGGTTAACACCACGAACCTTTACCAGGGGTCTTGGTGGTGAATTTCGTCCAAAACTCATCAATAATGTCTTGGGGAGGCTGTTGCTTCGCTTTTCGGGGTTTGCTGACGGTGACGGGCATCCTGGCTAAGTATGTTCGGCGTCGCGGGTGATCGAGGGCGGGCGGGCCGACGCAAGATGCGATTACTGAGTCTGAGCTGGAATCGGAGCTGTAATCCATGTTGATTGATGTTGCCCAGAAGTCGCGTTGATGGGGAAGGGGCCAATGGTCTTTACCGCCGATGCACTTGCCGACACATGCGGACTTTGGACACTTGCATGTGCGCCTGGACAAGGGACAAGGCAGGTGTGCAGTGGCAGGTATCTAGAAGTGGCAGGCATGAAATAGAAGCGAAAGAAGTCTGCCGAGCAGTAGGCAGGAACCCAAGTGAAGAAAAAAGAAAGAAGGAGCAAATTCATACGATGATGGTCACAGTGAACGGCAGAACAAATCAAGGCTCCGGCTTGGGCTTCTGCTGTGGCATTCGCTGTAGCTGCGGCTGCGGTCCTGGATATGTCGAGTTGGGGGCGGCGCCATTTATACCAGCTCATTCGGCGGCTGAAGTCCCATGATGATCAACGGCGGCCTTGTATTACCGCTAAGGCAAGCCTGCTGACGCGACCGCTACACTGACATGCATAGCAGCCGCATGAAGACTCGGAAGAGTGTGACTACCAAGTTACTAGGCTGGCGCTTGTAGTTGGGCGGGTACGACACCCCTGGGACCGCAACGAATCCGCCTACATTTCTGACTTGGCCAGGCAGGCGAACAGGTAGATAGGCAAGCAGGCAGCAAGCGGACAAATGAATTGAAAAGGATCCCCATCCCGTTTGCTGTGTTGACCTGGTATATTGACGCATGTGTACCCACGCAGAGAGTGCTTTTGTTCACCTCATATGTCCTGCATGCGAGAGCACTCACTTCCTACCTACATAACGTTACACACATCAGCCCCCAAAATCTTTAGTTGTCTCGTTCAACTATCCCGCTTCAGGTGGTTGGCCGGCCGCCTTCAGAGTCATTTAAGTGATCATGATCAATTCACTCACAAAATTGGCTGGGCTCCCACCATAAGAGGGAGTAAAGTGAAATCTTCCTGCCAGGGCAATGCTTGCAAGCTACAGTTTACCGGCGGGTATGGCCGGTGCTCTCAGCGAGAGACCCACTTAGGCCGTGCCGTTGCGGCTCCGTCCCGCTCCCGGATGAGAGCTGGCCAAAGCTTCCAGTGTCCCGTTCATCGCCTTAGGTACGGACACTGAGCAACGCCGGAGTAGGTGGGCAAGATAAGACGGCCTACACTGTTGTATGGTCTTCATCAGCCCTGGTCTATTTGGGCTGATTCAGACGCACGCGAGAAGAACGCGAACCATTCGTTTAAGCAAAAGCTTGGATCCTTCAAGTGGAATCACATCACCTCATGCAGTAGGCCTAGCCCATTCGAGGCCTAGCGACTCGATGCCCTTCTGCCGCACAACTCCTTGCAATCTCCTCGTGATTTCTCGCCCATGCAGGCGACCGATGATTCGGCACACCGTACGCAATCGTGTGCCATCGCCATGCCGACGCAGTTGCTGATTTAGCGCATCGCCGTACCACAATCCGATCTAACAAGCCCAACGTATTGTGGCGCTTCCTACCAACCATGCCATCGACCGGTGCAAATCATCTCGGGGCGCCCATCACAACATCATCTTTCCTCCTCCAAGGACACTCAAACGACTCAATCAACTGCTTCTTTTTTTTGTGCGTCACGCCACAACAGCTTTGCCATGGTGTC